CTTGGGGGTCTCTTGGGCCGTATCGGGGGTCCCCTGGGGGGCCTTTGAGAGCTCTTTGGGGCCGTTTTGAAGCCCTCTAGGAGCGACTCCAAGATAATGCCGGTTCGGAGTCCCCTCCGGAGCCGATTTTTCGAGGATGTCTCGAGCGAAACGGCCTTTTTTTCGGAACCTGACCGGACAAGAACGGGAAGCGCAGTTTTTTATCCACCACGTGCGTCAGAGACCGTATTGGCGAGAACGTCAGAGAACATCCCTGTTGCGTTTCCTGGCTTCGGCGCCGTCTTGGAGGTATCTTGGACGCTCTTGGGGCTGTCGTAGCCTCTGGCCTCTCGGGGGCCTCTTGGGGGAGTCCCGGGGGGGGCCTTCGGGGGCTCTATGGGGCGATATGAAGCTCTCAGGGAACTCCTGGAGCCTTTTCGCGCGTTCTGGGGGACTTCTGGCCGCCTCTTTGGAGCCCCTGGGGGGCTTCTTGGGGGTCTCTTGGGGCGTTTTGGGCGCTCTGGCGGGCCTCTGGCCGCCCCTTGGGGGCCTCTTGGGGGTCTCTTGGGGCGCTCTGGGGGTCCTCTGGGGGGCCTTCGGGGGCTTTCTTGGGCCGTTTGGAGGCCCTCCGGGAGCGATTCCAAGATAATGCTGCTTCGGAGTCCCCTCCGGAGCCGATTTTTTGAGGACGTCCCGAGCGAAACGGCCAATTTTCCGGAACACGGCAGACCACACAGGAGCACGGCAGACCACACAGGACACGGCAGACCCCACGGGAGCACGGCAGACCACACAGGAGCACGGCAAACCACACAAGAGCACGGCAGACCATACAGGAGCACGCCAGACCATTTTGGGGAATCCGTTAACGAAAAATCCCGTGCAGCGCGGCAACCCATATAGTTAAAGAAAAGATATATTTACTCAAGGATTCAGCCAGAACGTCCCGCTTGCTTGTCGTACCTCGAAGACGCTTCCCGTCATCCGCCAACGAGTTTCGGGATGGAGCCCGTACCCCTTAGTTAGAGAACCGCCAACGAGTTTCGGGATGGAGCCCGTACCCCTTAGTTAGAGAATCTCTCTCCCTCTCTATCTCTCTATGTCTCTCTCTTTCTCTGGCTTTAAGCCCCCAAAGCTTCAGCTTCAGCACGGCAGACCAGAACAGCAGACCCGCACGGCAGACCAGCACAACACACCGACACGGCAGACGAGCACGGCAGTCCGGCACGGCAGACCAGCACGGCAGACCAGCACGGCAGCCCATAGGAACATAGCAGACCAGATCATGTCATTGACGCTGCTGTTGTTGGTGATGATCATGTTGCTGCTGATGGTGATGGTGATGCGTACGATGATGATAATGATGATGATGAGGAGGATGATGATGATGAGTATGAGTATGAGTATGATGATGATGATGATGATGATGATGATGATGATGATGATGATGATGATGATGATGACTTCTCGGGGTGTGCTTGGGAGATGTTGGGGTCCTCTGGAGAGCCTTTGGACTAGCAGTTTAAATCTGCGTAGCCGTTGTAACCCGACTCTCGTTTTCTTCATCGGTCTGACCGGTTTATCAGCTTACACGGCACAGCGCAGCAACACGACAGACGGCAGCAGCACGGCAGACCAGGAAGGCAGACCACAGGAGCACGGCAGACCAGAACGGCAGACCAGAACGGCAGACCGCAGGAGCACGGCAGAGCAGCACAGCTGACCACAGGAGAACGGCAGACCAGCACAGCGTTGTTGCAGCAGACGGTGCTGATACACTCTTAATTTATTGAACACGTCCCCAGCGAAATCGTCATGGTCGGCCGTATTGAGGGCACTCTGCGGGTCATCTTTGGGCCGATTTTGTTTTTGGGGGGCCGTACTGATGCCCTCAAAAACGATTCCAAGACGACGTTAGACTCATTGTTTGTTTGATGATTGTTCGGCCGTCTTGAGGGCACTCTTAGGGCATAGTCTGCCGTGCTCCTCGTCTTGGTCTGCCGTGCTCCTCGTCTTGGTCATCCTTTCCGTCGTCTTGAGGGCGCTCTTGGTGCCTGGTCTGCCGTGCTCCTCGTCTTGGTCTGCCGTGCTCCTCTCGGTTTCAGTGCCTGGTCTGCCGTGCTCCTCGTCTTGGTCTGCCGTGCTCCTCTCGGTTCCTGCGCGCGGTCTGCCGTGCTCCTGTGGGGAGCACGGCAGACCACAGGAGCACGGCAGACCACACAGGAGCACGGCAGACCACACCTCGATTTTTTGAGGATGTCTCGAGCGAAATGGCCATTTTGGGGAACCTGACCGGACAAGAACGGGAAGCGCCGTTTTTTATCCACCACGTGCGTCAGAGACCGTATTGGCGAGAACGTCAGAGAAACCCATAAACGCAACAGAACAGACTAAATGATGGCCTGCCGCGCTGGTCTGTCGAGGTAGTCTGCTGCCCTGGCCACATCATGGTGTCGACACCGTGCTTTTCTCTCGGCCACGCGGGCCCCCACCCGTTGTCGCCCAGCCTACTTTTTCTGTTCCAGCCTGTCTTGTCTTTTGTTTGTCCGTCGTCGTCGTCGCGTGCCTTTCCTTTGTCGTGGTCGTCGTTTTCATTATAATCGTCCGCTGTTGCCGTTCTCGCTGTCGCCGTCGTTATCATTTTATGATTGCGGTCGTTTTTCTGATTGTTTTTTGTTGTTGGATTCCGTGTTCGGTTGGTTTTTGTGTTATGTTTGTTGTCGTTTTCTGTCATCGTTTTTTGTCGTAATTTTCGAAATCGTTATTGACGAAGACGACGACGACGACGACGACGACGAGCAGGAGGACCGTGCCGGCTGGCTCGGGGTGCCCGCGTCCCTCTGCTGCCGCAGGCCGCCGCCAGCGAGTTCCGAAGTGCATGCGGGCCCGTACCCCTTAGTTAGAGAAAATTAAGCCCCAGAAGCAACGGTGCACGCCGGAGGCGCTTCCCGTCATCCTCGAGTTCGTCTGGAGGCCGTCTCGAGGCCGTCCTGAGGACATCCTGGGCCATAAACGCGCCTTTTTGTTGTACCCCGAACGCCGCTGGCGTTTCCCCCACAGGAGCACGGCAGATCTCACAGGCGCGCGGCAGACCCCAAATGAGCACGGCCGACCACAGGAGCACGGCAGACCCCAAATGAGTACGGCAGACCCCAAAGAAGCACCGTAGACGCCTCAGGAGCACGGCTGACCACACAGGAGCACGGCAGACCACACAGGAGCGCGGCAAACCACAAAGGAGCAAGGCAGACCCCAAATGAGCACGGCAGTCCACACGTTCGCACGGCAGACCGCACAGGAGCACGGCAGACCACATGAGCACGGCAGACCAAGAAGGAGCACGGCAGACCACACAGGAGCACGGCAGACCACACAGGAGCACGGCAGACCACACAGGACATTTGTTTTTGGGGGGCCGTACTGATGCCCTCAAAAACGTTTCCAAGACGACGTTAGACTCATTGTTTGTTTGATGATTGTTCGGCCGTCTTGAGGGCACTCTTAGGGCATAGTCTGCCGTGCTCCTCGTCTTGGTCTGCCGTGCTCCTCGTCTTGGTCATCCTTTCCGTCGTCTTGAGGGCGCTCTTGGTGCCTGGTCTGCCGTGCTCCTCGTCTTGGTCTGCCGTGCTCCTCTCGGTTCCTACCTGGTCTGCCGTGCTCTGCCGTGCTCCTGTGGGGAGCACGGCAGACCACAGGAGCACGGCAGACCACACAGGAGCACGGCAGACCACACCTCGATTTTAGGAGGATGTCTCGAGCGAAATGGCCATTTTGGGGAATCCGCCAACGAAAAATCCCGTGCGGCGCGGCAACCCATATAGTTAAAGATATATATATATATATATATATATATATATATATATATATATATTTACTCAAGGATTCAGCCAGAACGTCCCGCTTGCTTCTCGTACCTCGAAGACGCTTCCCGTCATCCGCCAACGAAAAACCCCGTGCAGCGCGGCAACCCATAGATATAAAGATATATATATATATATATATATATATATATATATATATATATTTACTCCAGGATTCAGCCAGAACGTCCCGCTTGCTTCTCGTACCTCGAAGACGCTTCCCGTCATCCGCCAGCGAGGTCCGAGATGGAATCGGTGGCCCTTAGTTAGAGAAAACGAAGCCCCAGAACCAACGGTGCACGCCGGAGGCGCTTCCCGTCATCCGCCGGCGCCCCTCAGTTGAGGCACCGGGGACAGATTACCATCCTAAAAGAAACCTGGGCCCACGCCCTTTCCGGGAAAAATGGACCTCTCCAAATTTTATGGAGCCTCGGATCTCTGGAAGATTGACGTTTCGGTTTTCTCGAGACATCAACGTCACCCCGACATACTAATACTATGTGTGCGTCGCCCCCCCAGGGGCGACGCGCAGCGACAAATCTTATCGGGTATGCGTCGTGGCGGGCGTTTTCTGGCAACACCGCTCGGGAAACGGTACACTACAAGATGGGTATACTACATGATCGGGTCGGACGCGCGCCTCCAAGGATGACATATATTACCAGTCCGTTTGGACTCCCAGGTCCCAATCTATTTTAAGCCCGTTCTTACTTCAAGGATCGAGTGGCTTCACTTTTCCGTCCTCCCAAGGGAGCGGACGGGACCCAATCTACGTTCCACGCCTTCCTACTTCATGTTTCGACCTACAGTGGAGGCCCATGCCAAGAAACACCCTGCTTGCCTCCAGGGTGCCCTGGGTTTCTTGGGCTTCGGTGGTCTTGCCGTGGAAGGCGTGACGCTCCCGCACCAAGAATCACGGGACGCCCTGGGGTCTCAGGGTTGGGTTTTTTGTGGAAGGTTTCTTGTGGTCGGGCCCCCATTGTACTTTCCACGCCTTCCTAATTCATGTTTCGACATACTTCTTCCGACCGGTGAGTACGTCTCGGTTTTCGTCGAGAAAGGCAGGGGCGGCCGGCTCGCCGGGAGAAGGCGCGCGGGCGTTGGGGCCGTGCGGTTTCGTGCTGCGGGTGTGTGCAGCGTGCCCCTGGCCGACGCCGTGAGGCACTGCGTCGCGGCCGAGGTGTCGGAGGAGGGAAATCATGACTAGGGTTAGGTCGGGCGTGTTCCTTTGCAGGAGAAACAATTCAGAAAGATTCACGAATAGTCTGGGGGCGATTGCTCGACTGTTGTTGGCTATGTTTGATTATGCTTTGGCTATGTTTTATTCTTCCTCCAGAATCCGCTTGTAGGAGGACACGCCCGACCTTAACCAAGAGGGGAATGATGACTAGGGTGGGGAACAGCACGGCGGGGGCCATGGCATCTCCCTCGAATTATTGCCCCCCCCTCTCTTCTCTCAAGACGGTCCGTTCCTCCCCCCTGGTCTTAAGTCGGACTTGTCCCTCTACAGGAAGAGTATCCAAAAGTAGTCCACAAATAGTCCGGGCACGATGTTTCGACTGTTTCTGCATATCGGTTTGCATATGTTTTGCCTATGTTTAATTATGTCGCCCAATATCCGCCTGTAGGAGGACATGCCCGACCTGACCCTGGTCCGCGCGCGTGCCCCGTGCCATGAGCTGCGAGCCACCCTTATTGGACGCCTCCTTTCTGCACGCCCCCCTTCTTGGACGCTCCGTGCCTCCCCCCCCCTGGTCCGCGCACGGGCCCCCTCCTCCTCCTCCTCCTTTTCCTCCTCCTCCTCCTGCTCCTCCTCCTCCTCCTCTCCTCCTCCTCCTCCTCCTCCTCCTCCTCCTCCTCCTCCTCCTCCTCCTCCTCCTCCTCCTCCTCCTCCCCTCCTCCTCCTCCTCCCCTTCTTCCTCCTCCTCCTCCTCCTCCTCCTCCTCCTCCTCCTCCTCCTCCTCCTCCTGCTTCTCCGTAGCCATTTTGACTCAAGATGCTTGTGTCCTTCTGGCGGGAAACGGTTCCTGATTTGGTGCTGCGTGGATGGGCGGCGGACGCAATGCGAAGAAGGCACATAAGCATGGGCGCCACGACGACGCGTCGGACGCGATGTGCGTGCACTCCCCTGGCAGCTCTCCTCGTGGCGGTCGTCGGGATCGTCGTGCTGATCGCCGTCCGCCATCGAGTTCTGACGCAGCGAGCTCACGGCGTCCCCGCAGTGCTGGGCGCAACGTGGGCCGCGGTTCCGCCGAGGGCCCGCTCTTCCACGACGACGTGGCGGCGCTGGAGCTGTTCCCGACCTTCTCAGCGAACCAGCAGGCCCAGGCCGAGGGGGCCCGCATTGCAGGTGCTGCCCTTCTGCCTGGAACGGCGACCCCAGCCAGCACCCTGCCGACCCCCGTGGTCGGCCTTCCCATGCCGCCCTCTGGGGATGCTGGCGACGCCTCTGGCTGGCCTCCTGGACAAGACCCCTGGGCTGCTCCTGGCGGCCCCCACGGTGCGGAGGCGGGCGTCGGCGACAACCCTCAGAGCATGTCCGAGACGATGGGGCGCTGCATGCAGGAAATCATCGCCGAGATGGCGCAAGCTTCGATGGACTCCATTGCCAAGATGGTTCGCACGGAGCTCCCCCGCACCATCACGAATGTCGTGCAGCCCTTTGTCGCGCAGCTCGACTCGTCGATGCAGCAGCGCTTCAAGGCTCTGGAGCTCCGCATGGTCGAGGTCGAGAGACGCAGGGGCCAGGGTGGGTCCCTGCATCCCTTCCCTCGCCGACCGCTTCACGAAGCTGGAGCAGGAGCTGGACCTGGCCCGCGCGGCTCCACGCGAGCCCATCGCCAGGACGGCGGAATGTCAGCGAGCTGCTGACCCCGGCATCTTCGTCATCACCGCGCGCGAGGACATCGGCAAGAACCTGGTTGCAGACGGCATCCGTGGACGGATGGAGTTGGCCAACTATTCTCCTGGTACCGACTATGAGCTGGAAGGTGAAGAACTGGCGCGTAGGTTCATCCTCTGCTTCAAGAGCCCCCCGGTCACGCGTGCGTCGCGCGTCGGGCAGGCCCGCGCTCTCTTGCGCGACGCCCATGGGGCATGGAGGCAGCTCTCGGCTACCATGCCTGGAGTGCGTCGCATCCCGCTCTACGTCAGCGTCGATCGCAACAGGTTCAAGATCGCGCGCGAGAGGAGCACCAAGAAGCTGCGTGACAAGCTCCAAGCACACCTTGGCAGGCGTGTCTTCATGGACACGGAAGCTGGCACATTATCGATCGAATGGGAAGTCATCGCACGAGCTGTGGCCCACCCCATCGGATCCCCCGAAGGTGCAGTGGAAACTTCGCGCGCTCTGCGGTCGGCACGCGCTGTTCTCGACAGGCTTGCCAGTGAAATCTTCATCCCCAGGCGTATTGAGTGGAGTGGGTAGCACCTTCTTCAACACTGACCAGCAGCTGGAACTGTCGTGCTCGCCTTCATCACCGCTCCCACGCTCTGCACTGCAAGGCCGAGGTCGCGCGCCCCCTCCTATCCCCGCCCTCGATCACGGCCCTTCAAGAGGTTCGCGGCCCTGCTGCCGCCGTTGAGGAGCTCCTCTCTCGCGTCCGCGGAGAGGCCGCAGCTTTCGGCTCCACTGGCAGCGCGGGGCTTGCACTCGCCCCGAAGCAGGTCCTAGAGTTTGCACAGGTCACGCCCACACAGACTGTCGAAGGCAGGGTCCTCTGCCTCAAGATGGCCCACAGGCACTCAGGATTCTGCCGGCGCCATTGGAACACTCATAACCACGACCTTGACGCCAGCGGTTTCCGCATCATTTTGCACGGGTTTCGCCTTCAACTCGACCGTGCCAAGGAAGACCCCATGAAGACGGGCCTTCTGGCGATCGGCGACTCCAGCATCGCTGACGAGGAGGTCGACTACTCCACCAAGGATCTCCTCGATGTGCGAGGGCGGCCCCGTCGACCAGGGGGCGGCTCCGCTGGCTCGGCGGCCGCTCGGCCCTCAGCGGGCAGGCAGGCCCGTTCGGGCCAGTCTCGGCGGAAGCAGGTCTCCCGCCAGCTCGCCGGGCCCGTCGCCCCTGGCATCGGCCACTTCCACGTCACCTCGAGGACAGGGGCCCGCATCGACAGGTGCATCACGGCGACGCCGCCCTGGTTGCTGCGTCTGCTCCGGCAGCGCGCGCGGCCTTGCGGCGAGCCTCAAGAGCTCCACGACGCGACGCCGCCCGACCATGCGCCGCTCGCTATCTCCCGGCAGTCGAGGCGATGGCGCCCCGAAGGCGACGCGGTCTGCAGGAAGATCCCGAAGAGCACCTACGCCTATCCAGTCCACGCGCCGATCATGGAGGAGCACGAGCGCACGGCTGGGTCGGGGACTTCGGCCACGCGCTCTCGGCGCCGTCGGCGCTGGAGCTGGCGACGCTCTGCCGGCAGGCGGCGGCCCGCGCGGCCCGCGACCTGCAGCTGCGCGATCGCCCGCGGCGGCGCGACAGCCGACCCCACCCCCCTTCGGCCCCTCGCCCGAGCTGTTTGGCGTCAGGACGCTCGCCCAGGCAACGTTGTTTGGCAAAGGCATCAGTGGCTCCGCTCCTTCTTCTCCGTCGACGTGGACTCCTCGCCCGTCGTTCCCACTATCCGGCTGCCTTTGCCCGCGCCCACTCGGATCTGCAGTTCCAGGGGGCCCGGGCCGAAACGGCGCGGCTCCAACGGGCCGACGGCGCCTCCAGGGCGCCCGGGCGTCGGGCCCGCCTCCGCGCGCAGTCGAAAGCCCACCGCAGGCGAGCGCAGATTTGGCCCCCATTCAGTCGCGGACGTTATCCGGCGGGGGTGGTGGAGGAGGGGGCGGATCTTATTCAAACCTCAGCCGAGGGCCAGACCGCTGCTCTGCGGGGGCACTGGGGCCCCATATCTGACAGCAGCAATTTGTCCCGAGGCGGGGCCAGCAGCACCTCTCGAAGTTCGCCCCCGAGAAGGACTTCGCCGACCTCTCTCCTCCATCTCTGGGCGCCGTTCGCAGGTTCATTCGCCGCGCCCCGCACTCGGGGCTCGCGCACGTCGCGCGGGGTCTCGGCCAGGGCCTTAAGGTGCTCCTCCGGGTGCTCCACTGGCTCGCGAGTGGTCAGCGCATCTCTCTCTCTCGTTATATTCCTGCCCTCAGGTCTTCATACCTAGAGGGGTTCTCGAGGCCGACGATGAGTGGTCAGGCGGCGCGGCCCGACATGGTCGGGGCACCCGCCCCATCGGCCTCGAGGAACTCTAGCAACAGGATCGTTGCAGGGGTTGTCAATGCTGGGTTGTCCAGGGTCGCGAGAGACATTGGCGCCCCCGCGCAGCGCGGCTTCATCCGAGGCCGCAACTTTTTAATGAATGCGCACGAACTCGACGCCCACGCGAGGCTGATCAGCGCTCGCAAGGCCCCCGAAGGTGCCATCCTAACGTTCGACTTTGCGCAAGCGTTCCCCTCGGTCAGTCAGCAACGGCTCATGCTCGCACTGCAGTAGATCAGGATCACTCGAGGTTGCCTCCTCGCGGTCCAGGGTTTCTACCATCTCAACCCGCGCATCCTCTCCGTTCGAGGCATCCATCTCCAACTCTTCTTCGTAATCTCAGCAGCGTTGCAGGGATGTCCGCTCAGTGGAAGCTTTTTTCCCGTCATTGCTATAGATAGCTTTCTGTGGGACACGCATCGCAGCGTGCAATCGCCTGGCCACGGTCAAATTCGAGCGCGCGCCGGCGACATAGGAGCGGCCCTTGCTTCACGCAAAGGCTATCGCGAGGTCACCCGCGCCTTTCGGAATGCCGAGCACCTCGCGGGACTGAAGCTTCCGGCCTCGAAATCTTGCGCTGTCCCCATGCGAGTTGTTCTTCCTGAGAATCTCGAGCAGGAGATCCGCGTTCTGCTTCGCGACTGTTCACGCCCCCGCCCTGGCGCCACGCCACCGCTTGGTTCCGCCTGCTGGGAGGATTTCGAAGTCGCAGCCGAGGTTTTGCACATTAACTTTGGGCTGGGTCCTGGGGTCGAGGCTCTCCGTAACCTTCGCGCCCCTTTTCACAAGATCGCCGTTCGGACCAGTACCATCGCGGACGTCAGGCACGACCTGTCAACGGGGCTCCTTCTGCACTCTCAGCGGGCTCTTACTGTGCCATTGCATGTCTCGCAGCTGGCCCCGATCCCTTGGAATGTCGCCAAAATCGAGCGCAGCTTTTGGCCCAGATTTTTAAGGGGCCCACGTCGGCCATGAGGTATTCGGACTGGTTCAGACTTGGAGAATGGCACGGACCCAGAGTGTGCTCGTTGTACATCACCGCCGCTGCTGCCGCCATGCGCACCGCCCTCGCCACCCCCTCACTGACATTCCAGTCTCCGCATGCTTCGTGAGGGGCTCATCGACCACTGCCCGATGGCGCTGCGGGCCCCCCCCTCCTCGCCCCGCCCCATTCGCCCCCACCCCCCACCCTCCATCGCGTCGTTTATGGATGCGGGGGCAGCAGGCTTTCCGGAGGACCGACGGCTTCGAGTTGGCGGGAGGAGAGCGGCGGGTCGGTTCCTGGAAGGGTCGCCGGTATCTCACGTGAAGTGGCAGCGCGTTTTCGCCGAAGAGACGCACGCAGCTGTCTTGTCGCTTCCGGGGGGGGGACTGGGACTCGATTCGAGTGCGGATGAAGGACCTTCCTCCTTCATGGCCGCCTATTTTGCTTCGAACCTGGCTCGGCGCCTGGGTCACTGGCGCTCGAATGCAGCGCGCACAGCAGTGCATTCTCGGGTGCGAGGAGAGGGGGGCGACGACGCGCTACGTCTGCCTATGCCGACGCCTTCGCTACCACGTCGCCTCCTTCCTCCGCGCTGATCTCCCCTCCTCCATCTTCGCCCGCCTCGGGTTTCGAGGAGATTGCGAAGGCCTTACGGCCGATGCCGCCGACCCTGGAGACAGCGTTCTGTCATTGGGGAGAAATGACAACGCAACCTGGAGGGCCTCTTGGGAGCCTCTCCAGGCTGAGGGCTCGAAATGTCCGTTCGGGTGGTCCCCCACCTGGGCGCTCTCTTGGAACCGTTTTGGGGGCCTTTTGTGAATCTGGGAGGCGTCTTGGGCCGTCTTGGGGCACTTTTGGGCCGTTTGGAGGCCCTCTTGGAGGCCTCTTGGGCCGTGTCGGGGCGATCTTGGGAGCCTCTTGGGCCGTCTTGGCGCGCGGGGAAGCGGAAGAGGCGAGAACGCCAAAATCCTTGAAAAAACGCATGGAGAATCCATGATGTGCGCCTCTTGGGGCTCTCGTGGGAAGGGTCCTGGAGGCCTTTGGGGGCGTCTCGCAGGCCTTTTGGGCCGTCTGGAGGCCGTAAAGGCGTCTTGGACAGATCATTCGGCGATTCGGCGCCCTCTTGGATCATCTCGGGGGCCTCTTGGAGCACTCTTGGCTGGTCTTGGGGCCTTTTGGGCTTGGGGATTCCCCGGGAGGGCGGCGCATAAACCCGGGACCCCCCCCCGGGAGCCACCCCGGGACCCCCCCCCCTTTCCCCGGGAAGGGATCAAATGGAAGGGGCTCCCCTTCGACTCAAGTACGACGCCCTTCAATCTCGCCTTGGACTGGCGCGCCTCAGAACGAGGCCTTGGGAGAGCGATAGAAGCAACGACGCCGCGGGGAAAGAAGAAGGAACATCGACGACGACGACGACGAAGAGGGAGCAGACGGAGAAGCCTCTTCCACACGCCGACAGGGTCGGCGGATTTTGTTCTCGCCATCGCTCTCTATCATTTCTCCCGCCCCGCCGCGGCCCGAGCAGGGAGATTCCGTTGGCCGTTATTCCTGGCTGGGGCCGCGGCGTTTCAGGCCCCCGCGCGAGTCGCGGTCCGCCTACCCCATCCGCAGCCGCCAGCCCAAATTCTTCGACGCTGGCATGCTGCGGAGGCGGGTCGCGGAGCTCCGCGAGGGGTAAAACAGACAGACCCCTTGGGAACGCTGTGCCTCCTCCTCCTCCTCCCCCTCCTCCTCCTCCCCCATCCTCCTCCTCCTCCGGCCACGCTCCACTTATTATTCCTCCTCCTCCTCCTTTTCCTCCTCCTCCTCCTCCGTAGCCATTTTGGCTCAGGGCTCTGAGTTCCCCAGAGGAACCAGTGGATACCGCTAGTCCGCGGCTAGACTTCCGAGTTCTCATCGCACCGCTGCGTGAGTCGCCAGGCGACGCAGCTGCTTTCCTGTGCTGGTCTGCCCCAGCACTGACACCGCCAAGTTGACACCTGCGGTTGCTGTGATGACCCGTCAGAAGTCGGCCAATGGCGCGAAGAATCAGAAATCGTCGTACACCACCTGCAGTTCCTGCGGAAGTTGGGCTTGGGATTGGCGTCTTCGGTTGCAGTATGGCAAGTGCAAAGTCTGTGGCTCCGACGTCTCAGGCTTCGAGAATGCGCCTTGGATCCGCTCGGAGCACTCCCGCGCCCCGTGGGCGAACTCCGAGAAGCCCGAGTGATCGACCCCAGCATGGCCCCCTGCTTCCAAGGATTGGCCTCCTCCCCCGTCCAAGGCCGAGCCCGCTCATCTCCTGCAGCAGTACCTCAAGATGGCTGGTCTCTCCTCGGACTCTACGGCGCTGGAGCTCGCTCACCAGTTCGAAGAGGCAGCGGAGCGGGTCAAGCCGAAGCCCAAGGCGAAGTGCCCGCACGTTGCCCTGCGCGAAGCTACCTCGCTCCGTGCTCAGAAGCAGGCCAAGCTCGCCAAGGCGTCCAAGCAGCTCCTCTCGGCGGAGGCCTGGCTGGAGGAGTGTAAGGGGCGCCAGCTCGCGGCAGCGGAGGAGCTCTTCGAGGCGGACCAGGCCCGCTAAGTGACCCAGGAGGCCACGCAGGGTGGAGGTGGTGCAGGCGTCAGAGCTGAAGCTTCGGCCACTCCTGAGTTCGGCGAGGCTACCCCGATCTTCGGAGTTGACCCCCAGCTCTTCCAGGACCTGGACGACTACGAGGAGGAGGACAAGCAAAAGTTGCTGCAGTTCCAGAAGGAGCTCGATGACGTCGCCACCCAGGCCAAGGCCCGCGAGCAACAGTTCAAGGAGCTGCTTGCCTCGGCCAAGCAGGCGCTGCGGGCCCCCCGCAAGCGGCGCCGCGCCGAGGGCGGCCAGGCCAGGGCGGACGAGGCAGAGGGCGCGGCCTCGGAGGCAGCTCCTGCCTCGTTTGCGCCCGAGGGCAGTGGCAGCGGCACAGCCCCCCCCCCCCCCCCCACTGCCCAGCCCTCGGCGGAGGAGCGCGCCAAGCTGGTCGCCTCCATCGCTGCGTCCTCGCGCGAGGCCCAGCGGGCCGCTGGCCGTGGCGAGGTCGCCACTGAAGGTGCTGCTCCTGGTCGCGACGCTCCTGCTGAGCCCGCTGCCGCCCACGAGCGCGGGTAGCACGGGCGCCCCAGTCGGAGATGCTACGGCGTTCTATTCTAATATCACAGAGCGGGGCCCTCAGGCCCGACGGTTCCTCACGGAGAAGTTTTACGATCATTCAGTTGTGGCCCTGGTGGAGACCCATCAAGGGGCTAACGCCTTGCCGCAGCTGGAGACCGACCTCGACAAGGACGGATGGCAGTTGAGCTCTACTCCCGCGCGTCCCTCTGGGCGCTCGGAGTCGGGCCTCAGTGGAGGTGAATGGATCCTCACACGCAAGTTTGTTGTCAGCTCTTCTGTTCAGCGCATGCGTGCGGCCGCCCGTGCTGAAGGCCGCCAGGACCCCTGCAAAGGGTTCGTTCCGCTCACCCTGCACTTGAGGACGGGGAATGTGGTGGCGATCGCCGCCTACCTGCAGCCTGGCCTGGAGTTCCGCGGCATCAATAACGGCATCATGGTCGCACTGGCGCCCTTTACTTGGGCTCTTGCGGACCCGTGGCTGGTTGTTGCGGATTGGAATTGTGAGCCGTCCAGTCCCGTGGCCAGCGGCTGGGTTCAGCCGTTGCAGGCGCGGGCGGAGGCCCCGTTGAATTGTAAAGTGACTTGTGATAAGGGCCCTGGCCGCTTGTATGACTATGTGCTTGCCAGCCACACGTGCCCCGACTTGACGTTGCATGATGTGCAGAGTGCCCCTTGGAAGACGCACTGCGGGATTTTGATCACCATCAAGGGCGCGCGTGAGGAGCGCTGGGCCTCGAAGTTAGTCGCGCCCAAGGCTCTGCCCACTGCCGTGCGGCCGCGGGCCCAGCCCCAACCTGACAGCAAGAGGCAGCGTCGACGAGCTGCTGCACTCCAGAGGCGCAAAGAGGCTCTCCCTGAGGATTTGCACGAAGGCTTTGTTGCAAGTCAGGCGGAGCTCGCGACCTCGGAGCATCAGGAAGGAGAGGAGGTGCGCGCCCCCTTCTCGGTAACTGAGGATACTTGGCTGGCAGCGCTGGCGGCGCTGCCCCCAGGCCCTTGGGCCTCCCAGCCCCGCGGTGCGCCCCTCCACGGAGGCGTGGACCCGTGGCACGGTGAGTCCCTCAATGGAGGCGTGGGCCCGCGGCTGTTCGGCGCGCCCCTCCCTCGCAGAGGCGCGGACCCGAGCTGCAGCGGCTTGGAGGCCCCTGCCTCGGCACGGGCGGCGGCTGCCACTGCTATTGTCCATCTGGCCAGAGACGCGCATTCCTCTGGGATGGGCACATGTGCTACTCAGATGGCGAGTTCTGCTTCACAGAGGTCTGTGCGTCGCCACGTTTTCGCGGATGGGAAGTCGGCCCAGGAGGCACGCATTGCCCGCCCCTTCGCCGCAAGGCATATTGGGGTTGAGGGCACCGACCTCCTGGGACCTCTTAGTCAGAACGCCGTACGAGTGCTTACCACCATGGACTTGGAGGACCTTGGTAGTTTCCAGGAGGAGGACCGGGTGCACGACCCGTTTTGCGCTGTGCAGGTTCCACCGCAGACTCCTGCCCCACAGCGCGTTCCGCCCCCCTCTGGACCTGTCTGCTTACGCGACCAAGCTGTCTTCCATCAGGATGTGCCACCCGTTCCAGCACACCAGCAAGGCATTAGTTTGGGGAAGGCGGTAGGGCCAAGTCGTGCGCCCCAGGTGCGTTGTGGTTCAACTGTGATTGGCCCTACGTTCGTCCCCAGCATCGAGGACCAAGCCAGGATCCGTGCACGTGCTCAGGCCTGGCGTGCTCATGCTTGGCGGTGCCGTCCTCGGGGTGCGTTACCTGCAGTGCACCCTTCAGATTACCGCATCCTGCAGTGGCGTGCGGAAGAGCGAGAGCGCATATATGATGAGTATGTTTGTTGGGTCTCTACTTTGGAACAGGCCATCCTCGACACTGAGGGCCTGGACGGCGCAGATCGGCGTGCATGTGTGGGTCGCGCCGCAGGGCCCGCGGTAAAGTGGCCGAGGTTGCGGGCCACTCCCAGACGTACCCACACGAGGAACAGCTATGCCGAGCGGTGGGGCATCACCACCACTCTCTTGGTTCGTTTCCGCGCCCTCACCCGTAACGGGGTCGACCTGTGCCAGGCTCGGGACTGCCTGTCCCAACTACGGCGGCATCTGCAGAGTCTGGATCTGCTGGAGAAGGACGCGTACGTTGGCAAGAAGACTACTCTCGAGCTCGCCAAGGCGTGGGTCTCGGACGCGGGCATCCTGGATGAGCTAGAGGATGATGCGTTGGACCAGGTCGTACAGCTGCCCCAGCGCTGGTCGGACTGGGCTTCTTCACGGGCAATGACAGCATCCAGGGCCAGTTTCATGGTGTGGGTGCGCGAGCAGTGGCGACGCAAACCAGGCTTACTGCATCGCCACGTCAAGCCAGACCCTACACCTGAATGGGAAGGTGCTGGCCCTGATGGTTGCCCCACCAGTCACCTCCAACTTCTCTTAGAAGGCAAGCGCCAGCACTGGTCTGAGATCTGGCGCGAGAAGGTGGACACTCAAGAGGACCTCCACTACTGGCTGAACCAGTTGCACTCGGACGCCTTGGAGGAAGCGCTGCCGCCCTTTGAGCTCGACCAGCTCACCTCCACCCTACGGGCCATGCCATCGAGCAAGGCTCAAGGAGTTGACGCGCTGGGGCCAAACGACGTGCTGCGACTGCCAGATATTGGCCGCCGAGCGCTGGTGAACCTCTTGAATGGTATTGAGCTTTCAGGAGTGTGGCCTGTGGAAATTACGACAGTTCTCGGCGCCTCCATTCCAAAGGAGGCTGGCGGCCACAGGGTGCTCGGTCTGATGCCTCACACGGCCAAGTTGTGGAGCAGGATGCGTTCAGCCCCGTCTTACTCTTGGACGGAGCTCAGCTCTGCGAGCGGCGCTGGCTAGGGCCATCCTGGATGAATGTGCTCGCGAGTTGGGCGTGTCTTACGCCACTCTCTTCCTCGATTTGCAGAAGTTCTATGACTCGATCAGTTTTGTGCTGCTGATGAAGGCCAGTCGCTCTCTTCACTACCCCGCCATCATCACTGTCCTGGAGGTGGGTATGTATGCGGCACCCCGCCTCATCAAGCGGGGCGTCTTGGTCAGCTCTGCCCTGCAGCCTGGCAAGTCTATTGTTGCTGGATCTCCGCGTGGTGTGGACATGGCCAAGGCGATATTATACGGCCTCCCCCAGGAGGCCCATGTTGCGTGCCCACGAGCCGGGCTTTGGACATTCATTGACGACACTGCATGCAGGACGGAGGGTGCGCGTGCTACTGTCATTGGAGACATGTTGACGGCCGCTTAGTCATTGGCTCATGCGTTCAAGGACCACCGCTTGACGATTTCTGACAAGACGAAGCTTGTTGCCAGTGATGACGCGCTGGGGTTGTCTCTCGTCACTTCCTTGAAGAGCATGGGCATTCCTGTTACTCACGCCTTCTCGGCGGTCGACCTGGGCGTTGACGCAGCTGGTGCTCGACGGCGCGCCCGACCCAAGCTTCGCGCTCGAATGGTCAGGGCTACGGCGCGTCAGGGCAGGATCCAGAAGCTTCGGCGACTTGCTGGCAGCCACAAGGGGGCGCGTGGCTTGTGGAGGGCTGGCGTGCTCCCCTCTGCTACATATGGGCATCAAGCTCACGGAGTGCCGCCCTCCATGATGACCAAGCTGCGCAGGCAAGTGTCGATCTCGATTGCTGGCCACAAGAGGGGGCGATGCTTACAGACGGTTCTGCAGGCGACGCTTGGCACAAGCGACCCCTCTGTGCAGCTTCGACGGGATGTGCTTACTGAGTGGTTTCGCATGTGAATTGCGCACCCGTGTTTGCATGGCCGCATTGCTCGGGTTTGGCCACGTGTTCGTGCTGGACTGGGTGATCGTGTCCGCCGGCGCGGTGTCCGCGGGCCCATCGCTGCCCTTCAAGCTACATTGTTGCAGGCGGGTTGGGTGCCCCTGGAGGCCACCCGTTGGCGACGCTCAGGTGCTGAGGGGCCAGAAGACTACACGTTCCTTGCCTTCGGCGAGGATGGCTACAACGACACCGTGCTGGAGGATTTCAGTGAGCTCCTGGCGGACTTTGAACGCGATTGCAGTGCTGCTGCCTGGCGGCTGGCCGCCAAGCATCCAGATGGCGAAGAGCTCGCGGATGGAGCTGATCTGCATGGCATTCAGCGTGAGTTGGAGGCCTTCGCCAGGAAGGGTGACATGGACCTGTGGGGTGCGACGGTCTCGGTGACAGCAGGTGGGCAGTGGACGCAGCAGAGGCAGCACGATGCAGGGTACCAAGTCGATCGTCGGTGCCCACGGTGCAGAGCTGCCCCTGAGATGCTGCGCCACCGCATCTGGGAGTGTCCCAAAAATTGCTCCCACCCTGATTACACGTCGACGGACGCACTCATCCCGCAGGCGTTGGCGAATGCTGACCTCGACCCTTCCTTGTGGCTGAGGGGAGCGCCTGCAGCCAGTCTGGCAGTTCCTCGGTTTCAGGAGGGACTTAGTTTTTCTGATCCCATTTTCCTCGGCCAGTGCTTGCTGAAGGAGCTCTCGGCCCCTGCGGGACACCCCCCCCTCTACCTGTTTGGGGACGGCTCAGGGGGAGAGCACAGCTCTGACGATCGTCGGAGACGCTGCGGAGCAGCGGTGGTAGTCATGCGTCGGACTTCGGACGGGGATCCTTCTGAGGCTATGTGGCTCCCCGTCTGCGGTGTGGCTGCCTGTCTCTCTGGACGACGTCAGACTGTGCCCCGATCAGAGCTCCTGGCACTGGCCTTGGGCCTCGAGAATTCGTCTGGTGATATCGCTTACGCTTGCGATTGCAAGCCTGTGGTTGAAGGCTGGAGGTCTGGCCGCGCTGCTCGGCCTTATGGCCGAAATGCTGATCTCTGGGTTAGAATCCTGCAGGCGGCCAAAAATCGTGGACCAAGGTCCGTTGAGGTTGTCTTGACTGCTTCCCGCCTGGAAGCTGAGCCCGAGCGCATCACCTCCCCTTTTCAAGCCTTCCTCTCTCACGGCAATGCATGCGCTGATGTCTGGGCGGGGTGGGCGGCGAGGAGGGGGTGGGAAACGCGGTCAGACACCCGATCCCGTTCACGGATCGCTGGGATGTCACGCCTTGCTTGCGCGGAGAAGAGCGCGGCGCGCATTGATCGATAGTGTTGCTGTTGCCCCTGAATTCGGCCCCAGGGTATCCAGGCCAGGGCCCAGTCCTTGTCCAAACTGGCGCGGGCCCTGGACTCTTCGTCGCACCGCCTTTCGCGGTGCAGCAATCGTTGGATGTGCTGGTTGCTCTCAGATCGTGCCTCGGACTAAGCTCCTGGAATTCGCGGCCACGGCTTGCCCAACGGCTGCTGGGCCTGGCCTTCCTTCCTCCTCCGCTGGCCTCTGTGACCGTTTCCTCGGCGACGGTTTCCTGGCGGTGTGCGGGGCGACCAAGGTTGGAGGCGTGGCCTTGCATCCTCCCCACGCCCTCAGTGAGTGGTCTCGCTTTGGCCTCAAGTTTTGTGCTGTTTGCGGCTCACGGCTGCGGTTGACGGACGCAACCTGGCCAACCCTTGTGCGCCCCCCTCCCGCAAAGGGAGGGAAAATCGTAGCCGCCTCGCCAAAGGCTTGTATCCATCGCACCGTGGACCCCCCTCGTCGCTGGTGGTCGCCGAGATCCAGGCCCAGGCTTCGAGAGCCCAGTCCTATCCTCGGCATCCTTCGTCTGAGGCTACGCCTGTCCGCCTGAATGAATATCTCAGGTTTGTGTCCGTCCCAGATGAGGATGGCGAATTTGCGTGGCAACCTGAGTTCGAGTGCGCCCCGCTCACGCCGCCTGCGGGCGGGGCTCCACAGTCGAGCGCCCCCTCGGCCCCATCCGTGGGCTGCGGAGGGAAGGACGGTGGGCAGGGGACTTGCAAGGGAGAGGGGACGGGGGCGTCGTCGTCGGTTGCGGCGGCGAGGGCGGTCGGCGGGGAGCGAGCGAGGGCGAGAGCCCCCCGCGCCGCCGCCCTGCCGCCGGCCCGCGTCGGCGGCCTGCGGCATCCTCAACGCCAGGTGCGCCGCCCCCGCCCCCCCCCTGCTCTCCCCCCACCGTCTGCCTAGCCTTGCACGTGCGTGCACTCTTCATCCGCATCCGCATCCTCCTCCTCCTCCTCCTCCTCCTCCTCCTCCTCCTCCTCCTCCTCCTCCTTCTCCTCCTCCTCCTCCTCCTCCTCAAACCTTTTCTCCCCCCCCCTATCTTGGACGCCCCCGTCGCGCGCGCTCGCCAGGAGCTCCGCGCGCCTCAGTGGAGGGCCGGTCGAGGCGGCGGCCCGGCACGCGGCGAGCCGGCCGCCCCCGGCGAGCCTGCCGCCCCCGTCCGCCTCAGAAAAAGTCGAGGCGGAGGTGCTTCTGCGTTCTCGGCTCCAGGCGAGGCTCGAGTCTTGCCATATTCCTCCTCCTCCTCCTCCTCCTCCTCCTCCTCCTCCTCCTCCTCCTCCTCCTCCTCCTCCTCCTCCTCCTCCTCCTCATCCTCATCCTCTCCTCTCCTCCTCCTCCTCCTCCTCCTCCTCCTCCTCCTCCTCCTCCTCCTCCTCCTCCTCCTCCTCCTCTCGTCCTCCTCGTCCTCCTCCTCTCCTCCTCCTCCTCCTCCTCCTCCTCCTCCTCCCTCCTCCTCCTCCTCCTCCTCCTCCTCCTCCTCCTCCTCCTCCTCCTCCTCCTCCTCCTCCTCCTCCTCCTCCTCCTCCTCCTCCTCCTCCTCCTCCTCCTCCTCCTCCTCCTCCTCCTCCTCCCATCGCCCGTCGCATCGCCCAGATTGGGGAAACGTAAGACTCGAGTAAGCCGGAACTCGGATCAGCCGACGTGTTTTGACGAGCGCGCCTTGGATGTGGACAGTCCAGTTTTCGTAGAATGTTTGCCGCGGGTGCTTGCGTCAAATTTCAGATTGGGTCTCGTCATGTTTTATGATGGCCCCGTCAAGACAACCCAAGTCCCCCGTAATTACCCGAGTCGTACGTCTCCCCGACCAATCTCTTTCTGCCGCTCGGCTGCTGGCTTGCCATCTGGTTTGCCCCCGTGGACGTTCGCCTCTGCTCCCGCTCCCGTTCCGCGCGCCTGTTGCTTGGGCGGTCGATCGCAGCTTCGGGCCCGTTCGAACATCGCGCGAAGGCGCGTCCTGGGAAGAACGTGCGTACAGTGGGGGCCCATGCTAAGAAACACCCTGCTTGCCTCCAGGGTGCCCTGGGTTTCTTGGGTTTCGATGGTCTTGCTGTGGAAGGCGTGACGCTCCCACACCAAAAATTTGTGGACGTCCTGGGGTCTCAAGACTGGGTTTCTTGTGGGAAGTTTTTTGTAGACTGGCCTCCACTGTAGGTTGTGCTCACGTGCCAATTAATACGTCGATCCCAAACCCTCAGTACCCGCCCTCGTCGTCTTCGATCGTACCCCTGGGGTGTATATCTTCCTTACCTGCCACGTGAATTTAGCGCTGCCCCTGAAACGACGGAAGAGAAGACGGTGGAAGGGGGAGGGAGAAGAATGGAGCACGAGAGAAATTAGCAAAAGGGGGCAAGGAGCAGAAAACAAGTGGTAGAACCAGACGGGCAGATCTGGTGGGCAGACCCATAGCGGGCAGGTCGGGAAGGCGGGCCCAGGCGACCAGGTCGAGCAGGCGGGGTGCTGAAGCGTGGGTCCTGCATGAATCGCGAGGAAATCTCGAGCGATAGCGCGATTCCCAAGTAAATCCTGAGAAAAGCCAAAGCGAGCGCATGATTCTTGAGCGCCGAGGGCGCATCGTCTGAATAATTTGCGAGAAAGTCCCACGCGAGAGCGCGATTCGTATACAAATTGTGAGGAAGTCCCGCGCGAGAGCGCGATTTGGGAATAAAATGTGAGGAAGTATCAGGCGGGAGCCGATGTTGTTGTAAACCGAGGCCCAGGGGCACAGTTTGAGCCTAGTGACTTTCCCTGATAAAAAACAGGGTGCGAGCCCCAGGGGGAGCACTTCAAATAGAATTACATTTGAGAAAACCCAATCCGTGGATGATTTGAAAACTAATGATATAGATCTTGAGATTGATTGTGAGATCGACAATGGGATCGATAGTGGAATCGATAGTGAGGACGATTGTAAGGTCGATCGTGAGACCGAGAGTGAAATCGATTCAATGAGATCGATATTGAGATCGATCGCGAGATCGCTCACGCGATCTCTAGAGAGATTGCTTGTGAGATCGACAGTGAGATCGATTGTGAGATCGATGGTGAGATCGATAGAGAAGTGTGTAATGAGATCGATGGTGAGACCGATCGATAAGAAGATCGACCAAGAACCCGGGAACCCGGGAACCTCGCCCGCCGCCCTCTGAAATCGGCCCGGAACCCGGAACCGGGACCCCGGGAACCCGGAACCGGGAACCTGCGAACCCAGCGTGCAACCAAAATCGGCGGGAAATTTTCGCCAAATCTTTCGACCTCCGTGGGGACCCCTTCAGTTCAAGCACTGACTGGGGGAAAATAAACATGATCGACCCACGAACCCGGAAAGGAATATAGAAATGTAAGGCATGGCAACGTTTCAAAGACACTTGATTGGGCGACGGGCAAATGCAATGCTGAATGTATCGATTTTGATGTACCGTGCCGAGGGCTGTGCTGTGCTGCGCCGTGCTGATGCTGAACTGCGATGTGCCATGCCGCGAATGTGCTCTATAGCGTTGTGGATCGAGTCCTTCTTTGCACCCGAGTCCTGACCGAACTGATCTGGATCTTAAGCTCGAGCTGCCTCAGCACATATTAGCTGCCCCAGAGCTAATTGACAGGGGAACATGCCAGGAGGACGCGCCGCGGAACGTCCCAAGGGACGTTCCAGGCGACGTGCCAAGGGACGTGCCACGAAGACGCACCGCGGGACGTGCCGAGGGGATGCGCTACGGAACGTGCCAATGGACGTGCCAATGGACGTGCCAGGAGACGCGCCGCGCGACGTGCCAGGGGGACTCGCCACAGGACGCGCCACAGAACGTGCCAGGTTGCAATGCTGAGTGTATCGATCTTGATGTACCGTGCCGAGGCCTGTGCTGTGCTGCGCTGTGCTGAACTGCGATGTGCCATGCCGCGATTGTGCTCTATAGCGTTGTGGATCGATTCCTCCTTTGCACCCGAGTCCTGGCCGAACTGATCTGGATCTTAAGTTCGAGCTGCCTCAGCACATAGCAGCTGCCCCAGAGCTAATGGACAGGGGGACATGCCAGGAGGACGCGCCGCGGAACGTCCCAAGGGACGCGCCAGGCGACGTGCCAGGGGACGTGCCACGGGGACGTGCCGAGGGACGTGCCGAGGGGACGCGCTACGGAACGTGCCAATGGACAGGCCAATGGACGTGCCAGGAGACGCGCCGCGCGATGTGCCAGGGGGACTCGCCACGGGACGCTCCGCGGAGCGTGCCAGGCAACATGCCAGACTGCAATGCTAGGGGTATCGATATTGATGTACCGTGCGCGTTTCGCTCAAGATCTCAGCACATCCTCATGCTAGACATCCGCCTGGGCAACCTGGACACGTGCAAACAAGCGTCTCGATCGAGACTTTCTCGACACATCCTCATGCTAGACATCCGCCTGGGCGACATGGACACGTGAAAACAAGCCTCTGGTTCGAGACATCCTCAACAAATCCTCATGCTAGACATCTGTCTGGGCAACCTGGAGGCGTGAAACCAAGCGTCTCGCTCGAGACATCCTCAAGACCTGGGCACGTGAAAACAAGCATTTCACTTGAGAGATCCTCTGAATTCAGGTCCCCAGGAGAGGACAAGCTATAATACAAAACAAGCGTTTCGCTCGAGACATCCTCAACAAATTCGGAAAAACAAGCGTTTCGCTAGGGACATCCTGAAATTTTCATTCGCCGGCCCTCTTCCCATTCGTTATTTATCGCAAAAGAAATCCGCCGGCCCTCTTCCCGTCAGATTCGGGGGCAAACCTCTAAAAGAGAACCCTGGGCCTGCGCCCTTTCCGGGAAAATGGGCACCGGTGGGGGGATCAACCAGAATTATTCTTCAGCAGTGAGACCTCAACAACAACATCAACAACAACAGCAGCAGCAGCAACAACAACAGCAGCAGCAACAACAACAGCTCGCGCCTTATATTTCCTCACAATGTATTCCAAAATCGCGCTCTCGCGCGGGGCTTCCTCACAATGTATGCAAAAATCGCGCTCTCGCGCGGGACTTCCCAGCAAATCATTCAGACGCCGCGCCCTCGACACTAAAGAGTCACGCTCTCGCTGTGGATTTCCTCACGATGTACTTGGGAATCGCGCCATCGTTCGAGACTGCCTCGCGCAGGACGCACGCTTCAGCAACCCGCCTGCTCGACCTTGCCGCCTGGGCCCGCATTCCCGACCCGCCTGTTAGGGTCTACCCGCCCGATCTGCACATTTGGTTCTGCCACGTGCTTTTTGTTCCGAGCCCCCCTCCTGCCAGTCTCTCTCGTGCTCTATCCTCCTCCCTCGTCCATTCACCCTTCCTTCCATCCGTCCTATCTTCCCTTGCCTTGGGTCTGCACGAAACACACGCTGCAGGTCGGAAAGACATACCCCAGCGGGGTACGATCGAAGACGAACACGGCGGGTATCCAGGGTTTGGGATATACGTGTTCAATGGCACGCGAGCAGATCAGAGCAAACAGTAATGAAATTGTTGGTGTTATTGTTGTTGCTGCTGTTGCTGTTGTTGCTGCTGTTATTAGTGTTGATGTTGCTGCTGTTGTTGCTGTTGTTGGTTATGTTATTGGTGCTGTGGTTGATGTTGTTACTGCTGCTGCTGCTGCTGCTGCTGCTGCCTTTGTTGTTGCTGTTGTCGTGCAGCGGGGGCGAGGGGCACAGCCTGAGCCCCAAAGTTTTCGCCATGAGAAACAAGGTGCAAGTCCCAGAAGGAACACTTTTACAGTGGGGGCCCATGCCAGGCAACACCCTGCTTGCCTCCAGGGTGCCCTGAGTTTCTTGGGCTTCGATGGTTTTGCTATGGAAAGCGTGCCGTTCCCACACCCAAAAAAAAACATGATCGACCCACGAACCCGGAAAGGAATACAGAACTGTAACACATGGCAGCGTTTTCAAAGCCACCTGATTGGGTGACGGGCGAATGCAATGTTGAGTGTATCGATCTTGATGTACCCTGCCGAGGGCTGTGCTGTGCTGCGCCGTGCTGAACTGCGATGTGCCATGCCGCGATTGTGCTCTAGAGCGTCGTGGATCGAGTCCTCCTTTGCATCCGAGTCCTGACCGAACTGATCTGCATCTGAAGCTCGAGCTGCCTGAACACATAGTAGCTGCCCCAGAGCTAATGGACAGGGGAACATGTCAGGAGGACGCGCCGCGAAACGTCACAATGTATGCGCCAGGCGACGCGCCAGGGGACGTGCCATGGGGTCGCACCGCGGGACGTGCCAAGGGGATGCGCTACGGAACGTGCCAATGGATGTGCCACGGGATGTGCCAGGGGACGCGCCACGCGACGTGCCAGGGGGACTCGCCAAGGGACGCCCCACGGAACGTGCAAAGGAACGCGCCAAGTTGCAATGCTGGGTGTATCGATCTTGATGTACCGTGCCGAAATATGTGCTGTGCTGCGCCGTGCTGAATTGCGATGTGCCATAGCGCGATTGTGCTCTATAGCGCGTGGATCGAGTCCTCTTTTGCATCCGAGTCCTGACCGAACTGATCTGGATCTTAAGCTCGAGCTGCCTGAACACATAGTAGCCGCCCCATAGCTAACTGACAGGGGGACATGCCAGGAGGACGCGACGCGGAACGTCTCAAGGGACGCGCCAAGCGACGTGCCAAGGGACGTGCCATGGGGACGCACCGCGGGACGTGCCAAGGGGACGCGCTACGGAACGTGAAGGGGACAAGCGTTTCGCTCGAGACATCCTGTCAAGATCCAAGGAAATCCTGGCAAAACTAACGAATTAGTCAAGACATCCTCAAAATTCCTGCGCGCGGGACGCGGCGCGCGCGAGACGTCCTCGGAATTCCTGCGAGCGGGACGTGAAAACAAGCATTTTGCCTGAGACATCCTGTGAATTCTGGCTCCCCACGAGGTCCCCGCTCGAGACATCCCCCAATGTTGCAAAACCGGCGTTTCGCTCGAGAGATCCTCAACAAATTCTGAAGAACAAGCGTTTCGCTAGAGAAATCCTCAAACATAATTCCGCCGGCCCTCTTCCCGCACGTAATTTATCGCAGAATAATTCCGCCGGCTCTCTTCCCGTCGATTCCGGGGGCAAACTTCTAAAAGAGAACCCTGGGCTTCAGCCCTTTCCGGGAACATGATCGACCCACGAACCCGGAAAGGAATATAGAACTGTAACACATGGCAGCGTTTTCAAAGACACCTGATTGGGTGATAGGCAAATGCAATGCAGAATGTATCGATCTTAATGTACTGTGCCAGGGGCTGTGCTGTGCTGCACCGTGCTGAACTGCGATGTTCCATACCGCGATTGTGCTCTACATAGCGTCGTGGATCGAGTCTTCCTTAACGTCCGAGTCCTGACCGAACTGATCTGGATCTTAAGCTCGAGCTGACTGAGCAGATGGTAGCTGCCCCAGAACTAATCGACAGAGGGGACATGCCAGGAGGCCGCGCCGCGGAACGTCCCAAGGGACGCGCCAAGCGACGTGCCAGGGGACGTGCCATGGGCACGCACCGCGGGACGTACCAAGCGGACGCGCTACGGAACGTGCCAATGGACGTGCCGCGGGACGTGCCAGGGGACGCGCCACGCGACGTGCCAGGGGGACTCGCCAAGGGACGCCCCACGGAACGTGCCAAATTGCAATGCTGAGTGTATCGATCTTGATGTACCATGCCGAAATCTGTGCTGTGCTGCGCCGTGCTGAACTGCGATGTGCCATGCCGCGATTGTGCTCTAGATAGCGTTGTGGATCGAGTCCTCTTTGCATCCGAGTCCTGACCGAACTGATCTGGATCTTAAGCTCGAGCTGCCTGAACACATAGTAGCTGCCCCAGAGCTAATCGACAGGGGGACATGCCAGGAGGACGCGCCGCGGAACATCCCAAAGGACACGCCAAGCGACGTGCCAGGGGACGTGCCATGGGCACGCACCGCGGGACGTGCCAAGCGGACGCGCTACGGAACGTGCCGCGGGACGTGCCAGGGGACGCGCCACGCGACGTGCCAGGGGGACTCGCCAAGGGACGCCCCACGGAACGTGCCAAATTGCAATGCTGAGTGTATCGATCTTGATGCACCATGCCGAAATCTGTGCTGTGCTGCGCCGTGCTGAACTGCGATGTGCCGTGCCGCGATTGTGCTCTAGATAGCGTTGTGGATCGAGTCCTCTTTGCGTCCGAGTCCTGACCGAACTGATCTGGATCTTAAGCTCGAGCTGCCTGAACACATAGTAGCTGCCCCAGAACTAATCGACAGGGGGACATGCCACGAGGACGCGACGCGGAACGTCTCAAGGGACCCGCCAAGCGACGTGCCAGGGGACGTGCCATGGGCACGCACCGCGGACCGCGGGACGTGCCAAGGGGACGCGCTACGGAACGTGCTGGGGACAAGCGTTTCGCTCGAGACATCCTGCCAACATCTTCAGAATTCCTGCGCGCGGGGCGCGGACGCGCGAGACATCCTCGAAATTATTGCGAGCGGGACGTGTAAACAAGCATTTCGCCTGAGACATCCTCTGAATTCTGGACCCCCACGAGGCCCCCCACGAGGCCCCCGCTGGAGACATCCCCCAATTTTGCAAAACCAGCGGTTCGCTCGAAACGTCTTCAACCAATTATGAAAGAAAAGCATTTCGCTCGAGACATCCTGCCAAAATTCAAGGAAATCCGAGCAAAACAAACGAATTAGTCGAGACATCCTCGAAACCCTGCGCGCGGGACGCGGCACGCGCGAAACATCATCGGAATTCCTGCGCGCGGGGCGCTTTTCCGCGTCGCGGTCGGCTCTGCAAAACCAGCGTTTCGCTCGAGGCATCCTCAACAAATTCTGGAAACAAGCGTTTCGCTCGAGACATCCCCAACTCTGCAAAACCAGCGTTTCGCTCGAGACATCCTCAACAAATTCTGAAAAACAAGCGTTTCGCTAGGGACATCCTCAAATTTTAATTCGCCGGCCTACCTCCCGCACGTAATTTATCGCAGAATAATTTCGCCGGCCCACCTCCCGTCAAAACCGGGGGTAAACCATCTAAAAGAGAACCCTGGGCTCGAGCCCTTTCCGGGAACAATGGACGTCGTAGGGCCTCAGGGTTGGGTTTCTTGTGGAAGGTTTCTTGTGGACTGGCCTCCACTGTTTGGAAAAACACCAGGCGCAACGGAGGGCGGGGGATCAACATTCAGAACTGAGAATTCCGCAACAACGAGGCTTACGTCCGCACCCCCGCGCCAGGCTGTCGCTTGTCGCTGTTACCCCAGAAGTTTCCTGGGAGTTTCGCTTTCGGAATTGCCCCGCTGGGCTCGCGAGGTTCGCGTTCGCAATGAGAAGTTCGCGTTCGCAGCCAATCTCCGTTACCTCCGTAGCCAACCAGAGGCTAGAGTTCGCAATGTTCGCGCCGTCCAGTCAAAAGCCTTCTCCTGCTTAGACATCCGACGTCGTGACATTCTCACAACGTGGCTCCCCAGAGGTCGAGACCACCTTCCCGGGGCCGGTTTTGCGTCCCGAGTTGTTCCCAACCATCTTGTGGTGCTGGGTCATCATTTTGAAGAGACAGCGCCCCGCGTTTACTCCTCCTTCCTCCTCCCTCCTCCCCTCCTCTCATCATCATCATCATCATCATCATCATCATCATCATCATCATCATCATCATCATCATCATCATCACCATCATCATCATCATCATCATCATCATCATCATGATCATCACCATCATCATCATCATCATCATCATCATCATCATCGTCATCATCGTCGTCATCATCATCAACATCAGCATCATCAACATCATCACAAATTTCGTCGTTGCCCCAAAGGGAGCTCCACCGAAGGTCCCAATGGCGCGGTTGGCATGCGTCTCCCCCCCCCTAGTACAGAGTTTCGTGGCCCCACGGGGAGCACCACCGAAGGTCCCCGTGGCGCAGTCCGCATGCGTCTCCCCACCCCAGTTCAGCGCTTCGTGGCCCCATAGGGGCTCCGCCGAAGGTCCCAGTGGCACAGTCCGCATGCGTCCCCGCCACTCATTTCGGCACACCCCTCACACGCTTCGTGGCCCCATAGGAGCTCCGCCGAAGGTCCCAGTAGCACAGTCCGCATGCGTCCCCGCCACTCATTTCGGCCCACGCCTCACACGCTTCGTGGCCCCATAGGAGCTCCGCCGAAGGTCCCAGTGGCAAAGTCCGCATGCGTCCCCGTCATTCATTTCGGCACACCCCTCACACGTTTCGTGGCCCCCGCCGACGGTCCCAATGGCACAGTCCGCATGCGTCCCCGCCACTCATGTCGGCCCACGCCTCACACGTTTCGTGGCCCCATATGAGTTCCGCCGAGGGTCCCAGTGGCACAGTCCGCATGCGTCCCCGCCACTCATTTCGGCACACCCCTCACACGTTTCGTGGCCCCACAGGAGCTCCGCCGAAGGTCCCAATGGCACAGTCCGCATGCGTCCCCGCCACTCATTTCGGCACACCCCTCACACGTTTCGTGGCCCCATAGGAGTTCCGCCGAAGGTCCCAGTGGCACAGTCCGCATGCGTCCCCGCCATTCATTTCGGCACACCCCTCACACGTTTCGTGGCCCCATAGGAGCTCCGCCGAAGGTCCCCGGCACAGTCCGCATGCGTCCCCGCCATTCATTTCGGCACACCCCTCACACGCTTCGTGGCCCCTTCACACGCTTCGTGGCATGCGTCTCCCCCCCCCCCCCCCAGTACAGAGCTTCGTGGCCCCACGGGGAGCACCACCGAAGGTCCCCGTGGCGCAGTCCGCATGCGTCTCCCCACCCCAGTACAGCGTTTCGTGGCCCCATAGGGAACTCCACCGAAGGTCCCCGTGGCGCAGTCCGCATGCGTCTCCCTCACCCAGTACAGCGCTACGTGGCCCCATGTGGAGCCCCACCGAAGGTCCCCGTGGCGCAGTCCGCATGCGTCTCCTTCACCCAGTACAGCGCCTCGTGGCCCCATAGGGAGCTCCACCGAAGGTCCCCGTGGCGCAGTCCGCATGCGGTTCCCCCACCCATTACAGCGCGTCGTGGCCCCATAGGGAGCTCCACCGAAGGTCCCCGTGGCGCAGTCCGCATGCGTCTCCCCCATCCCCGGAAAACCTCCGTCGGAGGCCGTCGGAGTTCTGCGGAGGACGAACGGAGTGGGCTGCGGACAACGGAGGAGGAGGAGGAGGCCGGAGGAGGAGGAGACGGGGACGAAGACGATGATGATGTTGAAGATGATGATGATGATGATGATGATGATGATGATGATGATGATGATGATGATGATGATGTTGATGATGATGATGTTGATGATGATGATGATGATGATGATCATGATGATGATGATGATGATTATGATGATGATGGTGATGGTGATGGTTATGGTGATGATGATGATGATGATGATGATGATGATGATGATGATGATGATGATGATGATGATGATGTGACGTGCGGCGAAAGCGCGGTGGGAACCGTGGGAAGAGATACCGCGGCCCAGCGATTTCGTCAAGCGCCTCGTCAAACATTTCGAGGACGGCGTGGTCAACCCGAAAACGGGGGAGCAGGGGCACCGCCTTCTGAAGCCCGACCAGGCCCTGTTCGTCACGGCGTTCGCGAACGCCTGCAACGTGGTGTGGGACGAGGAGCGGAAGATCGAGGACGGCAGCATGGCCAAGCACGAGAAGCGGAAGACGTTCCAGTTCCTGCTCTTGGGCCAGGGCGGCAGCGGGAAGGCCGCCATGGTGCAGGAGATCGTGCTGCCAGCCATGGACGCGCTGTTCCCTGTGGAACCGGGAAAGGCGAAGGCCACGCTGAATGTCTGCGCGAAGTGGTCTCAGGCCGCGAACATTTCCACGGGCGCTCACAAGGCCGTCAGTTGCCACCGGGCGGGAGTCATAGGAGTGCAGTCCTTCAGGAGCAAGGACATACACGCGGGGGGCAAGCTGAAAAGGCTGCAGGACACGTGGGAGGCGGTCAAGTGCTTGATCTTGGAGGAGGTGAGCATGATCTCGCCCAACCTGTACAACATGCTGGCGTTCCGGCCCTACCTGGGGCGCAAGGCCGAGTGGGGAGCGGAGGGGCGGGAGTACGACCAGGTCGGCGGCGCCTTCGGCTGGATGCCCATCGTGATCCACCTGGGGGACTTCCTGCAGCTGAAGCCGACGGGAGGCAAGGTGTCCCTCATCTCCAGCTTCGAGGAACTGGCGGCGGCGGGCATCCACCTCGCTCCAGAGTACCAGGCCGTGATGAAGCTCTTCTGCAACACGCCGCTGTGCTTCGAGCTCCACGCGTCCAACCGCTTTAAGGACCCCAAACTCAGTGACCTCATGGCTTTCCTACGCAAACCGGGGAAGCAGGCCCCTCCAGCCCTCCGGGCCACGTGGAAAGCCACGCAGCTGACACCCGATGATCGTAGACTCCGGGAGGAAAGGTTCCAGAACGGCCACATGATTGGGTCCTACTGGGACACCGCGGCGCGGTGGATGAACACGCGGGCACAGCGGGGCGCGGACGTCCTGAAGAAGCCCCTCTTCCTCGCGCAGGCCGCCGACAGGTCTGCCCCGACGATGCGCAGGAGGGGCGCCGCCAAGATGATGAACTGTGCCAACCCGAAGAACACCGGCGGCATGCACGGGCTTCTCCCGGCGCAAGCGAGCACGCGGATACCGCTCCTGGAGGCGCTGGACCGCAAGAACGGCCTCGTCAAGGATGCCGAGGGGCAGATCGTGCACATCGTCGTGGACCCTCGAGATCGGGCCGACGTCGACGAGGCCGAGAGAGACGGGGAAGAGGATCTATCTGAAGCACTTGCCGCTGGTGTTCTGGGCGCGCATAGAAGAGCACGCGGGCGCGCCCTTCGTGGGCGACCTCAAGCGCCACCACGAGAGCCTCACGGGTGACCTCACGGGCCCGCTGGTGTTCATCGAGCCTCGCACGTCGGAGCCGTTCACCTTCCGCACCTCCAAGGTCACCCGAACGGGCTTCCCGTTCTCGCGCGGCGGGGCCATCGCCACGGCGGCGCGCCAGGGGCGCACCACGCGCGAAGGCCACGGGGCGAGTGAACAGCGCTCTGGGGCAGTTTTCGGCCAGACCTGCGGGGCGCGAGCAGTCCGCGGCCAGACCTTCTCTCGGCCCGGTGGACTCTCGCCCTGGGCCGTCGCCTTTCCAGCGCGCGGCCCCCTCGGCCGACATCGCCCAGGCGTGATCCTGGACAGCGGCCGCCACGAAGCGGGGAACGGCAAGAAGGGGGGCGACGGCTGGCGGCTGGAGCTTCACGCCATGCTCTCGCGCGCCACGCGCCACGAGGACCTTTTGCTCACGCGGGCGCCGCGCATCGAGTTCTTCCCGGCAGGGCCGCCGGAGGGCTTGCGGAAGCAGCTGGAGCAGTCTGCTGCGCGCACGAAGCGGCGCAGGAGGGCGGCGACGGCCCTCGCCAGGGAGCTGGGCTTCACCGAGTTGGTCCGCGAGGCTTGATCTGAGGAGCGGCTCGCCCGAGCCTCGCCGTCTCTCGACGGTCTGACTATTTGTTTGGCCTCGCGCCGCGGACGACCCGCGCGCGTCGCTGGGACAAACCAGCGCGCGTCGCAGGAACTCCGCGCTGCCTCGCTCGCCCGTCGTCGCTCTGCCCAGCGGCCAGAGCCTCGCCCGCTATCAGCCAGCCAGCTATCTCTCTTTGCCCCGCGCCGCGGACGACCCGCGCGCGTCGCTGGGGCCCTCTGGGGCGCCCAGCGCGCGTCGCGGGGACTGGGTGCCGCGTTCTGCCCAGCGCCTCGCTCGCCCGTCGTCGCTCTGCCCAGCGGCAAGAGCCTTGCCCGTTATCAGCCAGCCAGCTAGCCCTCTTTGCTCCGCGCAGCGGACGACCCGCGCGCGCCGCCGGGACCCCTCCGGGGCGACCTGCGCGCGCCGCGGGGACTCCGCGCTGCGCTGCGCCCGCAGCCTTGGACTTTGAGCGCGCGGGCAAAGAGGGGGTAAAAGAAGGGGGGGAAGCGGGCGCGATCCTCGCGGGGGGGCGCGTCGACATTGGCGTCGCGCGCGGGCGACGCCGTCGGGGAGTCCCGGGGAAGCTCATTGCGGCGGCCACGCCCAGCGTCACGAGTACTCAGAGGCAGTCATTCCCAAGCCATTGACATTCATATACAATTACACCATGTTTTGTCATACTCGCATTCATGCACGTAGACTCGCTCGCACGCAGATTCATTCACAGTCAGGCGCACTCGCGCTCAGATTCACCCGAGCTCAGTCTCCCTACGTACTCAGATCAATCGTTTTCGTTCGCGTTATGTACCACGCCACTCATTTCGGCACACCCCTAGCACGGTTCGTTGCCTTATAGGGATCACCACCGAAAAAGTGAATCACAATTGCGGTACCCACACCTGCATATGGTTGGGTCCTTTGCCAGGCTAATTTTTGACGGCCCCGTGGCTCGGCGAGGGCCCCCAGCGGCATAGAACGGATAGAACGGGAACGACGAGCCGCACCGAGGATCCGCACCGCACGGAGGCGGCAGGGCGGCAGACGCCCAGGGGGCACAGAGAAGCAACGGCAGTCAGCACGCCTGGGCGCACGCTGGAAAGGCGAGGTCTACAGCCTGACACGATCGAAAGGATGAGGGCTCCGTTTGCCTTGGCGGTGGGGTCGCATCGGCTCTCAATGTGTATGAAACATATATATGTTTATAATCAAATACATACATACATACATACATACATACATACATACATACATACATACGTACATACATACATACATACATACATACATACATGCGTACCTAAGCACATACATGCATACATACGCACATATACATACAGACACACACGTATATACATGCCCACATACACAAATATGCATGCATGCATATATGCATGCATGCGTACATATACACGTATATGTTTACTTATACAGGACGAAAGACTTTCATCTTGAGGTGCAAATGGCCATGAGGAGTTCGCGAGACAACGTCGGCACCGCCGAACGGACGGCGACCACACGAGCTGTTTGCAGCAACCGGGGGGAGAGGGATGTATGTATTCATGTTGAATGGGGCCCGTTCGCGCGGGAATTTGATGGGAGTGCGCGGGACGACGCAGGGCCCATCGTGGAAGGTTGGTTACCGAACCCCCCTCCCCCGTAGAATCTTAACACGGGCGGTTTGCGGGGTCAGCGGATCCGATGTCGTCCCGTTCCTTGCTTTAATGTAATAGTATAAATTGAAAACAAAGTAGAAATCGGATCCTCCGTAAAAACTAGGGTGGGACGCGGATCCGGGAAAATCCGAAATCGGAACCGCGCAGACAGAAATCGGATCCACCGAAACACAAACCAAAACCAAAATTGGACCCGCGAGAATTTCATTGGATCCGACGGCGGGTATCCCACACGCGTCTGCTCAAAACTTCAAACCTTCGTTCCGGGCCAAAGAAGAAAAAGACTTTCGTCTTGGGGATGGGCGTTTTGGCCTTCGGACATGTTGGTTGCCACGTTGCCCACACACCACACCTCACCACAATTCCCGCGCAACGTGCAGTCAGGAGTTCCCGCTCGAGACGTCCGTTGAGTCAGGAGATGCAGGGCCGAAACGCACTGGGCGTTGTGGCCTTCGGACATGTTGTTTGCCACGTTGCCCACACACCACATCTCACCACAATTCCCCCGCAACGTGCAGTCAGGACTTCCCACTCGAGTCGTCCGTTGGGTCAGGAGACGCATGGCCGAAACGCATTTACGCAGGACGCAAGATTTGCCTCCTGAGGTGAAAATGGCCATGAGGAGTTCGCGAGACAACGTCGGCACCGCCGAACGGACGGCGACCACACGAGCTGTTTGCAGCAACCGGGGGGGGAAGGATGCATGCATTCATGGTGACTGGGGCCGGCTCGCGCGGGGAGTTGATGGGAGTGCGCGAGACGACGCAGGGCCCATCGTGGAAAGTTGGTTACCGAACCCCCCTCCCCCGTAGAATCTTAACACGGGCGGTTTGCGGGGTCTGCGGATCCGATTTCTTCCGGTCCCCTGTTAATGTAATAGTACAATTTTAAAACAAAATAGAAATCGGATCCGCCCTCAAAACATGATGGACCCACGAGCCCGGAAAGGGATATAGACATGTGTAGCATGGTCACGTTTTCACGATACCCAACTGGGCGACACCCCACGAAACATCCCACGAGACACCCCGCGAAACATCCCACGAGACACCTCACGAAACATTCCACGAGACACCTCACGAAACATTCCACGAGACACCCCGTGAAACATTCCACGAGACACCCGTGAACAGGCAACCACTCAACCAGACACACCACGAAACATTCCACGGGGGTGCGACTGGGTGTGGTCGTGCTGGGGTGTGGTGTGGTCGTGCTGGTGAGTGGTCGTGCTGGGGAGTAGTCGTGCTGGGGGGTGGTCGTGTTGGGGGGTGGTCGTGCTGGGGGTGTGGTCGTGCTGGGGGGTGGTCGTGCTGGGGCGTGGTCGTGTTGGGGCGTTCGTGCTGGGGCATGGTCGTGCTGGGGTGTGGTCGTGCTGTGGTGAGGTCGTGCTGGGGTGTGGTCGTGTTGGGGTGTGGTTTTGCTGGGGTGGGGTCGTGCTGGGGTGTGGTCGTGCTGGGGTGTGGTCGAGCTGGGGTGGGGTCGTGCTGGGGTGGGGTCGTGCTGGGGTGTGGTCGTGCTGGGGTCTGGGGCGTGGTCGTGCAAAACCAGCGTTTCGCTCGAGACATCCTCGACAAATTCTGAAAACAAGCGTTTCGCTCGAGACATCCCCAACTCTGCAAAACCAGCGTCTCGCTCGAGACATCCTCAACAAGTTCTGAAAACAAGCGTTTCGCTCCAGACATCCTCAAATTTTAATCCGCCAGCGCCCCTCAGTTGAGGCACCGGGGACAGGTTTACCTACTGAAAGAGAACCCTGGGCCTGCGCCCTTTCCGAGAAAAACTGAATCCGGTTTTGGCATATGCCGCTCCCGTTCTGTGCGTTTACATATATATATATATATATACTGTGCCGTGATGAAAGATTACCCTATTGTGACGGGTCGGAAGAAGTTCATCCTTCGTCCGCAATGCGAGCACACGTCTGTGCCGTGATGACAGATTGCCCCACTTTGACGGGTCGGCAGAAGTGCATCCTGCGTCCGCAATGCGAGCACACGTTTGTGCCGCGATGACAGGTTGCCCCATTTGGACGGGTCGGCAAAAGTGTATCCTACGTCCGCAATGCGAACGCACGTCGCTAGTCGCCCCGTTAGGGACGTGGAGCCTGGTACAATGTTACGGGGAGGTGCCTCGCTTTCGGGGCGGAGTTCGAACCTGGGCTGTCGGGGCGGGGTTCGAACCTGGATCTGGTTCCTTAAATTAAAATTTGATTAAGCCAAACGGGATGGCGGTTCGAAAACGGCAAACCGCGTGGGACATCCTCACAAAATTGGCTCTCAAGACGGTTCGAACTCGGTTCGAAACAATAGAATGCGGTTCGAAACAAAAGCAGAATGAGCGTTTCGCGTGGGGCTTCCCTCAAAATACGGCGTCGGACCCAGTTCGAAACAAAAGGATGGCGGTTCGAAAACGGCAAACCGCGTGGGACATCCTCACACAAATTCTTGTTCTCACGGTTCCAACTCGGTTCGAAAGAAGGGGATGGCGGTTCGAAAACGGCAAACCGCGTGGGACACCCTCACAAAAATGGTTGTTCTGACGGTTCCACGTCGGTTCGAAACAATAGCATCGATTTCCAAACGGTTGGAAACGACCGTTTCGCTTGAGACTTCCTTGAAAATACGTTTGAAGCCCAACGGCCGCGTCGACGACGACGACGACGACGACGACGACGACGACGACGACGACGACGACGACGACAATGACGACGACGACGACGACGACGACGACGGCGGTTACGACGTTTACATGCGCTCTCGCCCGAATGCCGGCCACTCCTTAGTTCTCGCCTCACCGCCGGCCAGTGTCTCGGTCTGGCCGACCGCTCTCTGGGGTGGCGCCTGGAGAGGCCCCCGGTGCGGCGCTGGCCCCCTTCCGGAGGGGGGGACGTGCCGGGGGGAGACCCGCCCCCCCCCTTCAAGGGGGGGACCCCTTGGGGGGGGATACTGCTGTCACCCCCAAACAGCCACATTTTTGAAAAGGACCCGCCCGTTTGGGCTGCTTCTGCTTGGGCCGGCTGATCTACGCCATTTCCTATTGGAAAACCAATATGTTTTCCACTAGTTTTCCGGGTTCCGGCCTTTTCTGCAAAATCGTTTTTTTTTTTTCGACCCCACCCCGGAGGCCGAATCCAACGGGGAAAGCACGACTCATCCGCCCGTTTGGGCTGCTTCTGCTTGGGCCGCCTGATGTACCCCATTTCCTATTGGAAAACCAGTATGTTAGGAAGAGGGAGGATGAGGAAGAGGGAGGAGGACAGGAGGAGGAAGGAGGGAGGAGGGGAAGGGAGTGGGAGGAGGAGGAAGAGGAGGGAAATGATGAGGACGAGGAAGAGGAGGAGTAGGACAGGCGCCGAAGGTTTCGGTGGGGATCGTTCGAAGTAAGATATTGTCTGGGCCAAGTCGTTTTTTTTGGGTTTGACCCCAGCTCCGAAGGCCCAATCCAGCAGTCAAAACATGACCTTCTAGCAGTAAATGCGAGCGTGATCGCAACAGTCTCGATTGCTATCGTAAGTCCAATGCAAATTCGTCCAGGTCGTCCTCGCTGCAACTTTTGGGGCAAGTTGGGGGGAGGAGGGGTGGAAGGATGAGGGAGGAGCTTGCATCGATCAACTTTCAGGCTTTATTGATATTGTTGTGCTCTGCGTACTTGAGCTGTTTGTCAGCAGTGGTGTTCACTGGCAATGTGGCGTTCACAGGCGGCCGGGTGCTCACACTCACAGTGGTGTTCAGGCGTTGCTGGACTCGGGTAGTGTTGATCCGGCTCCGAGGCCAAATCGAGCAGTCAAGACATGGCCTTCGAGCAGTAAATGCGCGCGTGGTCGCAACAGTCTCGGTTCTTATCGCAAATCCAATACAAGATTATCCAGTTTGTCCTCGCTGCAACATGTAGGACATGTTGGAGGGAGGACGGGTGGAAGGATGAGGGTGGAGCTTGCATCGATGCACTTTCAAGGCTTATCGATGTTGCTGCGCTCTGCGTTCCTGGTGTTCACTAGCAAGAGCTCAGAGTCACATTGGTGCTGAGGCGTTGTTGGACTCAGGCGGTATTGATCCAGCTCAGGCCGAATCCAAGAGGTAAACAACTGTCTTGGAAGAAATGCGCGTGCGGTCGCAGCAGTCTCGATTCCCAGCGCAAATCAAATACAATCTCGTCCAGTGTGTCTCCGCTGCAACTTCAAGTTGGAGGGAGGAGTGGTGGAAGGATAAGGGTGGATCTTGGCGATTTTGTGCCCACAGGCATCTGGGTACTCACTGTCACTGCGGTGCTCAGGCGCTGCTGCGCCCAAGTAGCACTGATTGTATTTCGGTGCAACCAGCTCCACATCACAACGACACCGATCGAAGCACCCCCTCATGCCACAACAGCGTGTGGATGCATCGTAGCCATTACTTCGGCTATGCTAAAAAAGGGCCAAACTTTAATCACGCCCATGTATATATATATATGGGGGCTCAAGCCATTGTGGCTCAAGACATTGTGGCAAGTCTTCAGGCATTTGGAACACTTGGTTTGTGCCTATTGCCGCCAAACCCTTGTGACTCCGCCGTTGCCGCAATGAACGTCGTGGTGCTTGCAGGAGCGTTCGCCATCCTGCTCGTCGGCCACGGCTGCGTCGCCGCCGACGACCTAGCCAAGACTTTGGAGGAGCGCCGCCTGATGGAGGACGACTCGCACAACTGCGACGCCACGAGCGAGGCCGACGGCGTGGGGCTGCTCCAGTCACGGACGTCGGGCCCCAGCCAACCGCAAATCGCGAACATTCGGAAGGGCGAGACGCAGGACCACAAACAATATGAGGAGGCGGGAGTGGAGGATGTACCGATCGATTTCCAGAACCTCAATTCTACAATTCATCGCAAGGATTGCGATTTCGAGTGCACTCAGCCAAACACCTTTTGCTGCAAGTTAGTGACCACGCGGACCACGGTTCAAACTTGCTGCATTACTGACCAGTCTAACCAATGGATTATTCCAGGATATCCTTGCGCACGTTTGTTAATCGACAAATGCACAAGGGGGTACTGCTGTACTGGCGGCAAGTGTGAGGCGCGCTAGCTCTCTGCCCCGATCGTTTCAACGTCCTGCCCGTTCGCGCGACAACCTGCGCGCTTGCGTTTTGTTCCCCCCCTCACCTCCTTGCGCGATGACACGTTGGGCAGTTCCTTCCTGCCTGCCCTCCCCCCCCTCCTTCCGCTTGAAGACCCGGTCAGCTCCCCGCCAGGCGTTTTTCCACAATTGGGGAAGCATGCGAGACCTTCTGAGAGTTATCGGTTAAACTCTCACCAGTTTTGAAGACCTGGTCAGCTCCCCGCCAGGCGTTTTTCCGCAATCGGGGAAGCATGCGAGACCTCTGAGACTGGACTGGACTGGAAAAGGCCGCGCCTAGACGGCGCATCGGCTTCCGCTCTGTGCGTAGCCCGCACCATCCATTCTACACATGGTTACAATTCCGTTTCGCTGGGCTGCTGGCTTGGCGAACAGGTTTCAGAATCAACCATCGTCTCTCGGTTTGCATCTCTGCGGTCGTAATCACAGGAAGGGAAACCAAAACGGGGAAGGGGAAAGAAAGCTAAACCCTCACACACGCACACACACTCTTTGGCGTTGTGACCATGCGCGCGGCGACGCGGCGCAGACGGTCGCGTGGAAGCGAGAGCACGGCCGGGCCGGTTCACGAGGCGGGGGGACCAGGGATCCGCCCATAGGGGATCGAGCAGGTCACTCGCGGCATCGAGCAGGTCACTCGCGGTGGGCCGCGAGAAGGGGGGGAAATAGAGGAGAGGGGGAGAGTGGCGACAAGTGGAGGTGTGCAGTGCAAGAAGCAAGAAGGGTACAGCGCGAAAGTGCAACGGCACTCCGATAGAGGGAGAGAGCAGCAGCCAGGAAGCCCGACCAAGGCAGACGGTGAGATAAAACGAGCGCCGAAGGGGCGACAGGACCGTGGCGGGACAGCGGACACACACACACACACACATCTTGTGTTAGCGAAGTCGCCCTTTTCTCCGGCACCAGGCACCCACTGGCGCAAGTCCTGGATGCGCACTGCAGGAACGCCAGGTGAACGATTTAGACAATGAAGGTCTTCGAACAGCGACTGATGAGGAACAACCCCGATAATATAAGCAACAATTGAAGCACATTGCCCACAAGCATCGTAGCTGAAAAGTGTGTGCTTATGTGTATGTATATACATATACATACATAGACGCATGTACATTTACCAGCCCAACAGGCTAGTGATTGGTGAAGAGTTGATATGAACCAGGAGGAGGGACGGCGAAGTAAGCCCCAGGCTGCGACAGCAAAAGGCTGTAAAATTCATCGCGGTCAGGGCACTCGTAGAGAGCGTGAAACCAACGCAAGCTCGCGTCTGCGTGTCCCCAGTAAGCATAATGGAGCTGAGCTCGTACACCACTGCAGGAAGAAATTGATAACCACGCAGCCCGAAACCCACCGCAAGCAGACCGCGGGATGATTCTGGGAACCCCCACATGCGGCGCCGAACCTGCCGCAAACTGTGAAAATCACTGCCACAAGAAATCCGCGTCTGCTGCAAACGTCGCGCGCTTGCGGTGCAGACGAAATCCGTCCCAGACCACCACGGGCAAGCATGCGAACATCTGATACGGCGCCAGCTGGAAGAAAAGGACGCGCTTCGCAGCCGCGGGCGCACAGTCTGCGTTGGGTTTAACGAGCGAGGAAATTCCGCGTGGATTCGCGAAGGGCACGCGACAACTTTGCAGCCGCAAGTTGCACGAAACCACCGCAGCGATGCATCCGCGCATAGAGCCACACCCGAGGGAAACCGAAGCAGGCGAAGAGCTCGCGACTTAAAGTTATAGCCGCGACGGTGAACAATCCGCCATGGCCAAGACGAGTCGCCGCGGCACCACGCCACCTCAGACGAAGTCACGCGCATGGGAGAACAGGCGGCCCTTCCCCCCCCCCCCCAACAGGTGAACGCAGGCCCGCCCACGGAATAGCATCACGCCGCGAAGGATGCAGGCGCGGTGAAGAAGAGAACTGCCACTTCCCAAGTTCTTGACCACGAAGCCGCGCATCCCACGGCGAGCACACGGGGGCCCCTGGCGGGATGGCCCGCGCGCCCCGCGGACACGATGTCAGAAAGGCAGCTTCCCACGGCGCGGCCACCCGACCACCGCGCCCAGTCGCCACAGGCAATGCCCTCTCCAGG